AAAATCCTACTCTCGTGACGCAAATTCTACTCTACATTGTATTATTAATACTATTATGTAAGTAATTACGGATCACCTTGCAATGTAGAGTAGAATTTGCGTCACGAGAGTAGGATTTTCATTTTGGATTTTCATTGGTAGTCGTTCAGAATCCTACTTGCCCTTGTTTCCATTACTTTTTTATGAACTTGCTCTAGAATCCTACTCCATCTTGTTTTTTTTAAATTTTTTATGTTCTTGTTATGAATAAGTCTTATTCAAATTTTCTATGATCAAAAGCTAATCATGCTTGTTCACACTTCAAGTAACACCTCAAGTGTAAAATGTTAATTAAAGCAAGCATGGCAGCTTCTACCATCATACTTTCTCTGCCCACTTTGGTATAGGGTTTGTCTTAGTTATCAATCGCTTGGTAAACAGTTGGCGTCCTTTGGTCCACCTATAGAAATATAATGACTATGGTGAACACCTAATGCCTATACTGCCTACAGGAGTCACCTTGAGATTGTGTCTTCAGTAAGCACGTGCTTGCTGTATGGATTAGGGTAGCGCTGCCATAGAGCTTGGACGAATTCCTCCCATGGCTGCCTGTGTTTCAATGTAGAACAACTCTGGTCTATAGTTTAGGATGCTTACTTGAAGGTCACAAGATGTGAGTAGTATTTGCCAGGCGCTTTTTCTCTCGCCTTTTCTTTCTCCTGAGCTTTCTCCTTCATGGTGATCCAATTAATGGTCGACACACGTCACGTGGGCGTTGGCTATGGAGTAGCAGCTCAGCCCATAGATGGCTTTGTGCATTTCAATATTTTTAGACTAGCGCTCAGTAAATATAAAATAAGGAATAATGTTTAAATAGTATATATTTTAAAACAGCATTGTAGAATAAAAAATAGGAAAAATATTAGTGTCAAAACAACAATAAACAATCTTTAAAAAAGCCTTTAAAACTATAAAATGTGTATGCAGTGCATGTAAACTATGCAATTAATCTAAAGGAGATTGTCCATTAAAAAGAGTCCATGAGTCCATTATAAAGAGTTCATAGTTCACGACAACCCTGTATAGGATTGTTAGCCATGTCTTGGATCCCTCCAGTCCTGTATGCTAGATAGCAGTCTTGCTCCTTGAGATCAATGGTGCAGACGTCTTTACGCTTAATCTCATTGAGATCCGTTTCAGTTATCTGAAGCCTCAAGCTTGGCCCACTAAGAGTGAGTACTGTTCCATCAGTGAGCTGATGCTGTCGGTCCACATTAGCAGGGATTGATGGTAGGGTCTCGTTAGCTCTGACAGCAAGATAGTCAAATAAAACACTCTCATAGCGAACACTCTCACTGAAGTTAAGGACCAACTGTCCAAGATCCATATCAATGACAAATAGGTTGAGTAGAGGAGGAGTGATATCAACAGTGTATTCAGTGACTGGTAATATATCTGATGTACTAACTGGATTATTATTCATATCAACAATGGCTGATGGTACTATTCTGAGGAATGTGTTATTGTTCATTGTAGCGAGCATCTCTAGTACTTTAATTTCATTCAAGTCATCATTTGTTAGTTGTACAACAAGGACAGGATCATAGTCATTAATTGTGACATAGGTTCCACTGAGTGTGAATGACTCTGATGCTCCACTGCTGTCTTCACTGTAGAAGGTAATCCCGGCAGTATTAAGACTGCTAGTGTTGACTGTTTCAGTAAAACTAAGACTCAGTACTCCAGTATCCATATCTAAGTCAAATCCAGTGAGACTAGGATCAGTTGTATCTGCTGTAAAGTCTGATGCTCTTATTGCTTCTACTGGAGTAAACTCAACATTAGGATTACCAAACATATCAAGAATGGTGTCTCCTGCTATGAATATGTAAGTGTTGTTAATATTGGTTGCTAGAGCTGGTCGCTTCTTAATCTCATTCAAGTCATCATTGTGAATGACTATCTCAATTTCAGAGACATTAAGTGATGATGAGATGCTCTTTGGTGTGAGGGTGAACACATATTGATCTGATGTTTCATTAGATGTGGCTGCTAGTGTCAATCCCTCAACATTCAATGAAGAGACATCAATAGACTCATTGAATGATAGTGTTAGTATGGCTGTGTTCATGTCCAACTTAAAGCTCTCCAGTTTAGGAGGATTGACATCAGGAGAGTAACCATTGACCATCAGCACATGAACACCACTAATGAGTGGTATAACATACTGCCCAATGATATCGTGAACAGTATTATTAGTCATTGATAGATAAGTGGTAGTACTGTAGCGACCAATCCCTCTTGTCTTCAAGGCATTGAGATCAGTGTTAGATATAATGTATGATACTACTGGACCATTGTCAGTATTGAGTAGAGTCCCTGTATTAGTGAGTGTGTACTCTTGCTCTGATCTATACACTGCACTATCCAGCTGTAGTGTGAGTCCAGTGATGTCAAAGGAAGACACTAGAACAGTCTCAGAGAATGAGAGGGTTAGTAATCCAGTGTTGAGATCAAAATCAAAGTTCTCTAGATTTGGACGGTTGGCATCATCAGAGAACATGCTAGTATCCAATGCATTGTCACTGGTGATAGGCACCACTGGATTACCATTGAGATCAACACCAAGGTCCTTTGTGATGCTGATATAGGTAGAGAAAGGACTTCTGAGAAGGTTCAGTAATCTCTTGATTTCATTCAAGTCATCGTTAGTGATTGTTACAGTGAATTGGAGTAGACTAGTACTGCTAACATTACCACCAGTTAGTGTATAAGACTCATATGAACCAGAAGAGCTAGATACATTCTGTACCGACTGCAATGTAACAAATGTTAAGTTTATTGAACTCAAGTCCATTGGTTCGTCGAAATTCAAATAAAGTTCAGAGCGATTGACATTAGCACCAAAACTGATTAGTCTGGGACGGATCAGGTCTGGAGTGAAGTCGGTAGTACATTGTGTGGTTTCTGTTATTTTATTCATATTAGTTGACATATCAGTAACTGAGTCTGCTAGTATTGTAATACAGGTGTTATTATCATCTGTTGCCAAGTCTAATTGACGTTTTATATTGTGTAGATCCATTGTAGCTAATTGTATATCAATGACTGTGGAATCATCACCTGGGACTGTGCCAGCAGTTAGTGGAACACTTGCTGTTAGCTCATAATCATCCTGGAGAGTGATTCCAGAAATGATAACTGAAGTGGATTCAACAGTTTCATCAAAAGTTAAAGAGAGGATCTCTGACGTTAGATTAAGAGAGAATGAGTTCAGTATAGGTGGTGTTATATCAGTAGTATAAACTGATACAGGCTCAGCACTAGCAGAGCTGATAGGTACTACTGGTAGCCTGGCATTATCAGCTAATAGATCAGCAGTAAAGGAGAGATATGTGGTGCTCATGTTGCCAGCTAATTCTGGTATCTTCTTAATAGCATTGAGATCATCAGGCGATAGCTGGATCAAAACACGAGTTAGATTCTGAAAGCTAACCAACCCATCCTGTACAACATGAGAAGAAGCACCAGCTCCCAGCGATTGCTGATTCTGTATTGTTATTTGACGTAAATCTATTGAGCTGATATTGATGACTTCAGTGAAACTCAATAACAATACTCCTTTATTCATGTCTAAATCAAATTCTATGAGACTTGGTGGAGTCATGTCTTGTATGAACATACGGGCAGGGAGTGCCTCATCAATATCAATCATTTCGACAGGATTGTTACTGTAATCACTGACAGTGTAGTTACTAATGGAAATGTATGTGTTATTGAGCTCAGTGGCAAGAGATGTGATGTGTTTTATTTCATTGGTGTCATCATGGGTTAGAGACAGTATGACAACATGAGGATATGTAGCATTGACTGAAGTGGTCCCACCAGTCAGTGTATAGTCAGTGAAACTATTAGGAGCTGATAGTAGTGTAATCTCATTGACATCAAGGGCTGCATATTGAACACTTTCACTAAATGTCAAGTATATGGTAGCCAGGTTCAAGTCAAAGGTAAAATTGAGCAGCACTGGTGAAACAGCATCATCAATGAAATCACTAACAATTAGAGGTAGAGTATCAGGGCAGTATTGGTTATCAGATGTATCCCTGATGGAATAATTTGTTAAATATACATAAGTATTAACTAAAGATGAGCCCAGCTCTGGAATTGACTTGATTGTATCTGTGTCAAAATCTGAGAGCCTCAGGTTCAAGAATCTAGTGTATACATCACTTCCCTCTATGACGGCCATTGTTAGTGTGTGACTGATAGATGAGAAGCTTACAGTGCTATACACAGTCAATTGTGTTTCATCGAATGTTGAGGCATTGACTGGTTCACTGAATGTTAGTAGGAGAGTGCTCTCATCAAGATTGAATACAGACTCGTACAGTTGAGGACATGTTATGTCAGGTTTATAGCTACCAACAGGTATGATGTTTGGTATGATATTGTTCTCAAATTGATCTAGAACTAAATCAGAATCAAAAGAGAGGAACGTATCATTGAGAGAAGTAGCAAGAGTAACGAGCTC